GTCAGCAGCACCAGCCCCTCTGGCGGGTCAGTTATTTTGGGAGAGGTTCCAGCCCCAAGGCTCGCTGAGCTCTGGCTGCATCCAGGAAAAGTTAGCAGCTTGTGGAGAGAAAGCAGCAAGTATGTCTACAAAAGGAGGGAGCCCAAACGCATCTCTGCATCGTAATCGGCATGTGGAGGTGGAGGCGTGCGAGATGAGCATTGCTGACTGCTCTCGGGGTCAGTGGGCAGACCTGCCTTTGGAATAAACAGCTTATGTGTGTGTTGTGAAGCACATAAACGAGGAACTTCCCTGTCCAGGACTGTAACAAGACAGGATGACTGGAAATCCTTTGCCAGCCTCCTAGGCTGCTGTGTGTGTTTGAAGCCTTAGAAAGCCTGCGAGCGCTGCGGGGCATGTTAACTCTTTTGTGTTTCTTTACCAAGCAGGGCCTCTGAAGGGAGGTCACAGCAATTACAGGGTTGGACAAACATCAGTGATCTCTCACGCTGGCTGACAGCCTCGCCCCTGCGGTGTGGCAGGGTGTGCAGCCAGGCACTGCCCGCATACAGTCACTGCGATAAGGCACAAGCCCGGTTTTCACACCGTGTCCTGCTCCTCCTTTCCCTAGGGCCTGTCCGAGCAGAGTGGGCACAAGGCAAAGCCGTGACTTGCTGTTAGCTGCTGCCCTGCCTCCTCATAGCCCCTGGTGATGAGAAAACTGTTACGGATCCAGGGCTGTTACAAAGAACTAGGCATTTGCTGCCTTCCCTTTGGAGGCAGCAGCAGCTGCAGTCACGCTGAGGAATAGCTCTCCTTGGGGCAGACCTTCCTCTGAGCACGGACACAGACAGCAGAGCTGCACACAGAGAAAAGGGCTTCTGGTTTTCTTAAAACAATTTATTAATTCAATTTTATATAAAAAACATACAATCAATTAATACTAGATCATGGCTGGCTTCCCAGCCTGCATCAGACCCTTTTCCCATGATAAAAAAAAATATAAACCATGACAACAGCTAAACACAAAGATCAGAATTTCAGTAAGGCCGTTTGATTTCCAAAAGCGCCTTTCATTGACTGCACAATAATTAGAGCTGGCACGACACAGAAGGAAATCACATCATAATCTGGGATACAGAAAAATAGAAATCTGCCTGTAAGTACTCTTATCACATATAATTCCCTCACATATAGTACACGACAGCACATCTTTGGTCTGTGTTTATCTATCACCTCACCCCGCTCCAGCAGAGGCACGGTGCCGGGGCCACCCCGCTTCTCCAGTGCCAGGTTTGCGAGCCAAGCGTGGCGGCAGGTTGGCGGTTGTGTCGGGGCTGGGAGCACGAGGTATTTCAGAGAGTGCCAGAGAAACCTTTCCTCCCCAGCAGCAAAGGGAGGGAGGGGGGGGCGGGCTCTCCCTACTGGGGAAGAGGAGCTGATCCTGCCCTGCGCAGCCTCTGCTCCAGGATGGGGAATGGACCGAAAGGCTCCATGCCCTGCCTGGAGCTGAGGGGTGCTGGGAAACACACAGGCTCCCCAAAATCCGCCCACCTCACCAGCCCCTGTGACCCCAAGCTTCCCCTGCACTGAACGAGGGGGACGTGGACACCAGGTTTGAGGGGGTGTTGGAGAGGTGCTGTTCACCTGCTCCACAGGCAAAGACGGGCACGAGTCCAGTGGGGTGAAATGAGGTGAGCTGCCTGCGCCGGGCAGCTGCCGGCCGGGCTGGGGCTGGGGTGTCCTAGGCTTCCTCCTCCCCACCA